AATAGCCAGGCGTATAAGTTCCATATTGAGATACACGGTCAATTTGAGGAGTGCGATTCATAGACACACCGAGCAGCAAAGTCGTGGTGATGGCGGGAATGGCTTTCAGCGACTCGTTGACTCTCTTTCGTCTATACAATCAGAATTACTCGCAATCCTCGAAGAGTGGACTCGGACATCGGGACAGCCACAAATACCACAAAATTAGGGCACGCTGTAACACGCGTTACGGTGAAAAAAACACTAAACGAGACTGTATACAGCAGTCTACAGCAAAATAGAAAATGAAATGTTATATAATTTTCTCAAAACATTCATCACCTCAATTACTATACCACTGCTGATATGTTTTTATTAGTAATCTTGTTACACTGTTCAGGGGATTCTCAACAACCATCCCAAAGTATCGTTTTCTGAGAGTTTTCGGCCTTTTTGTCACCGTGATGGTTGCCATGCGGCATTATGCCCGGGTGTCCGCCACCGAGAATAAGTAAAAGAGTTATGTAGTAGCGCGCACTCAGTGTTGTGGCCCGCCATTTTATAATCTATTCAAACACTGACCCAACTACAGAGGACGCTCTTATTGGTTTGTAGTAGAGTGGTGTATGGGTATGAGCGTATTAAACTCTTGGAGGTTGGATGAGACTTAAGGAGGTTTATGTGAATGCCGGGTTAGACTTGGAAATGTATCTCTAGTGATTTTTATATTTTATTCCCCCAGAAATAATGATAAACACTGATATCAGTACATGTAGACTAACTCTGTCTTCCTGGCATGTATACATCACATAATAGTTGAGTGTGTGTCTAAACGGACAACTTACAAATAGATATGTATCGAATAACTCGACGAGAAGAAAAGTTTACACTCGATGTCTTAAAAGATATATTTTTAATTGAGCTTTAAAAGCAGGTTATGTTTGAATATTTGAATGGGGTCAGGTAGGTAGTTCCACCGATGTACTCTCGCGAACTTGAAGTCGTGTTTGGATTTTCCTCAAAAAACTTGAATACAGATTGTGATTAATTGCATGACGGGTACCTAAGGATAACTGTGGGTGAATTTCCGTGAAAGACGTTAATTCTTGAATTCAATGATAAAATATGGCAAGTGTGAAATCTACAGAACTGGTTAATAAGTAATATAATGCGTGTAATGTAATGTAAAGGTGTAATGCGGTGGAGTGGGGAACAGGAATTCGAAAATGTTGTCAATCGGAACATAGATTTTAGAAAACTTCTGTCTGAGACAAAAATAAATTAAAACCGTGAACTCAAGTGTGAAACTTGGGCTATAATCTATCATCAACAACCAGCAAGCGTTTTGAAATAACACGTTCTCCGCTAGCTTTGGAGCGCCTCTTTGAACCTCCGAACTGGCGTTGACTACCAGCGACGAACTTACGGCAATCATAACTCATACAGTCAAAACATATAGCACTTCTGGTTAATTAGAGCCTGCATATGTCAAGAAGTCAGCTGCCCAAATATTTTATATTATTCTATTCATTTGCATAACAATAAATTTAAAGAGCAGTGGTCGTCGCGTTGATATGGAACTCATAACGACGTACACAATGCGTGTAAAATAAATTGGTTGTTTACATGAAATTCAAACAAACCACCGCCCTTTAACATAACCGAAACATATTGTAAATATAATATAATAGAAATGTGATACAAATAATATAATATAAATATACGTAATAAGTAGCAATTCACAATAAATTTCATCAATGCGCAACTTAGTTAAAGAAGGTGATACATTTGGTGCGAAATTATTCAAAAATCAGTTTTTTGGGTGTTGCCATTGCAACGGCGGGCCAGGATTTTTCTCCATTTTACCACCCAACTACAGTATGACACTATGACCTGTCTGCCTGCTAATTATGAACAAAATCGACATAGCCCACCCCAAAAAATGACAGAAAACTTAAAAAGCCGTTACTGGTGAAAAGTTCCCCCAAATTTGAAGTCAAATTTCTCGGTGACGAATAAAGATATAAAATAAATAGTAACTTTGCGCCCACACTCAAGCTGTGTCGAATGTCCAAGGTTTTTTGTCCTAGAATTGTAGGAGGAGATACGTTTGGCGTGAGGTTATTAAAAAAAAATTTGGGGCTGATGCCATGGAAACGGTGGGTCAGAATTTTTTCAAATGTTACCACTTAACTCAGAGTGAAGGTGTAACCTATCTTCCAAGTTTGAGCGAAATCGGCCCAGCCCCAAAAATCACAGAAGAATAGACATAGACATAGAGAATTACACACACGCAGAGACAAAAGTGATTTTAAGGGCAATCCTTGCGGAGCGGATCGCCAACTTTTGTTTTTTCATGTTTATACCTCCATGTTGTTTTCAAGAGAAGACAAAAACGCCCTCTACGGATCATAGAGGAAAGATATAATTGTACCAACATGCACACACGGACTACATATATAACAAATGCCAACCCGTGAAGAGTAACGTGTCACCACTCAGTTATATTGTGTTTCTCTTTTCACTTTTAAAATGGATGATGTATTCAAGCTTGGTCCTGATTACTACCGATCGCCAGGGGAGTGGACGTACAAGGGCTATGTTTTGGGTGGCTACAACCGGAAAGATATATTTGAGTGTCCCGACTTTGCGGAATACAGAGTGGATGACTGTTTTGTGGTGTCATATCCCAAATCAGGCAAGTTTATCCACCGTGTTACGGGTCTACAGTGGTAGTGCCGTGTATATACATTAGCATGCATGAAGTCTTAATGCTTCTACTTGCCCTATTTTGAAAGGGCTTATTCAATTTGCTCATTTAATAATTCTCCGAGTCCCCTTGGCTTTTCGCTCAGACTACTATAATAGTCCGATTTGCATGTCAATGAACGATCGGCGTGTTTGACCCCGAAGCAACCATACGAGTTCTCGAGGTCAAACTATAGAGATGTAAATAGTGATTGCGATTGCCTGGTTCAAGTTGGCAAGCTGTGCCTGGAGGTCGATTTTGGCGAATAATGATTGTTCGCATAAACCAACGTAGATTGGCGTTAAAGTGTCGTAACTGCTAACATGTGTAAGAACTCATTCACTTGTGTGTACGTGATTATACGTGATGTCCGATACTAGGGGCTACTACAAGAACTCGTAGATTTACTAGTAACTTGTTTTTCCAATCCATTTGGCACTGTGATTAGATTGTGAACGCTATGAGGTTACAGTGAATAGTTAATGGTTGACATCTGATTCTATACACATACCAGCTGTGCCCGACTTACAGAGTTATCTGTCAGTACACAAACATAATACAAGTACATACCTGACCTATTTTCACTTATGGCGTTGTGCGAGCCGGCACTATTTTATTATTTTCGGTCGTCAATTGTTTGACTGTCATTGCCGAGTATCAGTAGCACTAAATCTGTGGCCGGGGCGGATCTAGGATTCTGGAATTCTGGTTATAAGCTGGCCGAAGGCCAAGTTCGCAAGCGCCAATGGCGCGAAGCCCTGTTGGTTGTTAAAAATAGGGGGCCGCGGCCCCCTCAGCCCCCCTCTAAATCCGCTCATGGTGGCTGTCTATCGCACACATTCGATCAGGTCTTAAAACTGCAAGCACTTTGTTTGTGTAATGGTAACACAAGTGAAGAAACTATGGTAGACTGATAATACGTATATAAATTTGTACGATGTTTATTTCGGTAGAGAAGTCTGGCATCAAGGCACAATCACACCAAGCATGCACTGTAACGCCCTCTATATAGGGTTAATCGTGAAGGTCATTATTAAAGCGCGGTAGTCGTCGCGCTGCGCATGTGCGAAATATATAGGTCTCATATAAACAAAGA